ATGAAAATTAAGCATATACTGTGTCCAGGTGACTACCTGCTCAATAACAAAAGGGACAAAAAAGAATGCCTGCACACCATGACTCAATCTTGAGTCCCTTACAGATTTACAAATAATGCCTCAACAATACTTCCTTTAATGCAGAATAAATACCAGGGCACCTTTCAGAAAAGAAAGAGGACAAAGAAAACATAAAACAAAGAATAGATAAAACAAAGAATAGATAAAATAGGTCCAAAACTTCATTCTCATTTTTTCTTCTGTTTTGTCACTCCACATCCTGTTCCCATCAAGATCCCTTCTGCCAGGGTTCTCAGGACAAGCCAGTAAGTAAACACGAGTATTATGAAAAAGCGTTTTTAATTTTAGGCATGGCCACCAGCGTGCACCCATCTTGGAAATGCTTTTTGAGGACAACCTCATTAAAGACAAAAAAAAAAAATGCACCCACTTAAAAAAGCCCAGCTCTGGGCCCTCCGTGGTAGCGCAGTGGGTATATTCAGCACTGGAAAATTAAAGTCACTTCAGCGCAGAGAGCTCAACCCCTGGCCCCAGAGGTGACCCACATGGCGTGATAGACATAGCCTGGCCCGCCTGCTGCTCCCCTCAGCAGTGTACTTCGTGGACCTGCCTGTTCTGCTCTCTGCTCTGTCTCTGGTGAAGCCTCTCACTGCCCCGCACCTCTGGCCTATACCCAAGTTCTGTATGCATAAGTAAATCTTAAAAAAAAAACAGCTCTCCACCACCTGTGACTGTGCAGGTGCCCCTCTTGTTAGTTCTCTTCAATAAATCTGTCCTTTTGGAATGTTTAAAAAAAAAAAAAGTACCCAGTTTGTACAGTGTTGACATGCAGGAATTTCAGGTACCACAATTTATACCAATCTTCCAATACCATGGTTCATACGTCAGTTCACCAAGATGATACTTTATCAAAATGGAGAACAGAGAAAATAAATTGACCCACAAAAAATGAAAGAAAAAAAAAAGCAAATAAAAGGAGTAACACTGAAAGTGAAATTTAAATCAAACATAGATGTAGCTTGGCTGTGGGTATCTTGACATGGTTTTTCCTTACACATCTTCAAATACATAGCCAGAACACTTTGTGAGGTGAACTTACCACTATAAGTGAGGAAAGTGATTGTGACCAAAAAAAAGATGTCCTAGAAGTTGTGCCAGCATACACTTTCACATTAAAGAAACCAAGGCATTTCACATAATTGAAAGCACCCAGGATAAAATTGAGCCAAACTTAAAAAGCAGTGCAGATTTCACTATGGCATAAAAAAAGAATGCTTGTTCTATGTTATTGGTTTTAAGACTAGAAGACAAATACTGTTTAAATTAGGTGTGATACAGTTTTTACAAAGAAACCGATTCATGTTCCCAATGTTTTAAATCAAATGTACTAAATACTAGTTTTACTCCTCCCATTTTCTTATGTATTTATAACAGACAAAAACAAGTTTGACACATACTGATGAGAACTTTAAAGGTTATGAGATAACTAACTTCTCATCATTGATTAAAACCTTTTTGCATAACTCCCCCTTGCACATTCATTCACACTGTCCAACACTATCACAAGAGCAGACTTCACACTGCACGGCACCTACACTGCCCAAAGTTCTTTCACCTGTATATCAGAATTGGTTGAAGTTAAAACATGCACAGAGCATGGAAGTTTTTTGTTTCATTTATGTAACATGTTAGATGAACAGATGAAAATACAAGGGTAGTGAAATAGCTAAATCATGAAGGGGAAAGAATCTGGCAGAAAGGGAAAGATATGGTAATGGGTGTTCTATTTTTTAAAATCTAAAGTACTTTTGAAATTAAAAAAACTAAAAGGTAACACCACCATCAAAATGATTCAGTTATTACCTTAGGGAATTTCAATGTATTTTTTAATGAATGAAACAGTACATTTTATATTTTAATGAGGCAGGAACAAATGTACAAATGTAGTGTTGAAGTTTGGTCTCTATCACATATTTTCCATGTTATTACAGCACACAGTCTTCACAAGCATTATTTTTAATAATCCCTGAATAGTCTATTCTTTTTGTTATTTTATAACAGTTTATTTTACATTTTTTTTCCATCTCAATTTAGTCTCCACGGGTTTTCCCATCACCAAATCACCCGTGTGCCATCACCATAATCCCGTGCACTTCCCTCCCCCCCCCATTTTCCTGAAGTCTATTTTTAATGATCCCTGAATAGTCCATAAAATGGTCTGCCATCATTTACCTAACCATTCCTCTTATTTCAAGTTTAAGTGGGTTACTATTATCTTTGTGGAGTGCAGATTGCTAATATTAGTTCCAAATTAGTTTACTGAAACCACCAACCAGTCAAAGCACTCTTTGATGGGTTTGTTCTTAATAGCCTGTTCTGTGCTCCTAAGGAAAACTAACATCCCAGAGACTGTCCCCTCATGACACTCTATGTCCCTTCAGTCCTCACCAGGAAGTTTCAGAAAGGGATTATTTAAGTAACTGGTACAGACAGGTTCTGTACTGCTTGTCATTTTATTCTCAGAATCTGGGTTTTAAGATTTCAACAATCATCAAGGGTCTACCACTTGCTCATTCATTCAATTCCAACTGATATCCTACAAAATACCAGTGCCTGATAACACACTATTAAGAAAAACCATTAGTTTTAGAACTGCCTAGCCCAGAAACACTTCAGCGGCTTTACCTTTGCAACATTATTTGCAACACTAGTCTTATCCACTAGACCTCTGCCACCACTTTAACATTTTAAGTTCTTTCCACCTGAGTGCTTTCTCACCCACAGCTCCCTCTACGTACAAAAATATCTAGCTCCTTCCATCTTTTAGGTCTTAGCTTAAATGTCACACCTCAGGAACTTCTTTGGTTACTCTGCCCATTAACTTAGATTCACCATTTTTTTTTTTTCGATCTCATCTGAGTATGTATCAGACACGTTTGGTGCACTGGCCTCTGGAACTCTGAGGGCTATCTAATGCAGTGCGGGGCAGACAGTGCATGGCAGATAAACTAGTAAATGAATAAAATGATCGGTCTTTAGGTAGAACGCAATCTGTCTTCCTTGAAACCCTTACCCACTGACCCTGATTTTACCCTCTGTAACTTCACTATTATATAGACACAGTAACATACACATAGAGTTAACAAATACATACTGCAGCAGCAGCAAGCACAGGACTGATTCTATCCTTTCGGGCAGATGAGTAAAGAGAGTCCAGGAGCCCTCTGTGGCTTTTCAGACTTTCATGCTCTTTGTATGTCAGTTGTGGTAGGGCAAGCCTGCAAACTGGCAAGGCAGGGATGGCAGGGGCCAGGAGACTGGCAGGCCTACCAGCCCCTGGCAAATCTGGACTCTCTCTCTGGGCTCTCTCTAGCGTTCTCTCTCACCTCTGGTAGTCAGACCTCCTCCCAGCGCCATTCCTCCATCTTGGAGTAATGCTGCCTTTATATCGCCAACCTCTAACTCAGGTGTGAACACTTGCACATGCGCACTCACCCTTGCTCAGGTGCCCATAGTCACGCGCCTTTTAACAAGATTGAGGCTGCAGGTGGTAGCCACAGAAGCCAATGGCATAAAAGCCTGATCACTTTCATTTATCCTACACATACTTTAAAAAAATAAAATTTAAAGCCATCATTTTGTTTTGTTTTGTTAACTCAGGTACTCACCTACTTTACCCAACTGCTACAGTTGCTTACTTAAGAGATGGTATCAAGAAGCAGTTATAGTGACCCCCTGTTACATGTCTTGGATTAAAAACTGCACTCTAATTTACATACATGAAATAGACACCATATGTGTGACTTTAGATAATATATCTAATCTCCTGTACCTCAATTCCCTCATTTGGAAAACTCAGAATAAGAATTAATTTGAAGAATAAAAATGGTGTGTGTAAACAGTTCAACCAGTCCCTGGCACAGAAATGTTAAAGGTCAAAACTATTACTGTTATGTCACCAGCTAAACAGAAAAACTACTTGAAAGTGATAATGTATTTCTTTTCATCTCTAAAACCTAGTTTATAAAAATCGAGATTTAAAACCATTTCTCCCACATAAATGTGGCAGAGGCTCCCCTTTCACATCTTCTCATAGCACTCCGAAACTAGCTATCATGTCAATCATCATTCATTTTCCTATTCTTTCTCTAGCACCTGACCTTTGTAAACATGTCTATCTTGTTCACCTTGTTATCTCCAGCAGCTGAAAACAACATTTGATAATTAAAAGAAGAAAACCTCTGGGACTCCATTTCCCCTGTAAGAAACTTTATCTTTTCGTTTTCACTGGCTCCCCAGTGAAAACATGGGCGGCCAAATCGCTGTGTTATTCATTAATGTATCAAGTACCTGCTACTGGACTGCAAATAACAGGAAACTTTAAAATATTCAGTAAAGGATTTTTTTGTTCTTGTTAAAACATGTTGAGTCCCGCAGTTTTCTTGAACATTAAACACTATTGTTTTGATGGCTCCAACGCGCAGCTACCTCTGTTCAATGTTCACAAAGACTAAAGACTGGGAGCAGAATAAGCAGATTATACACCGAATGAATGAATGAATGAATGATTTTCCGAGACTGAAAAAAAGTACAGCAAAATGTCAACCATAATATTGGAAAAGATTTGAGTAAACGTTTTGGTTTTGTTACACATATTTATTTAATTAGCAAGTTGCCCACAGCGCAGTTGTAGTATATAATCAAAACTTCCCTGTTTTTCTTTACGTAAGCCACCATGTGGAAAAATATGAAGTTAGTACAAACCCCTTCTCAACTCGTCTGGGTAAGAAAGATTTGGCCTTGACAACAGACTAGGGGGCGGCCTGGGATTCCCACTCTACATCCCAGACCAACGAACCGGTGACCGAAAACAGTCCAGGGCGCAAAACCTTAAGAAACTGCTAGTGCAAAGAAGGCCCCACGGGCTTCAGTGAGGGGTTCCAGCACTCCAACTGCCCCTCCCTAAAGCCGATACTCACCACCAAAGAGGTCGTAAACCCAGTGCGATCCATAGCCCCCGCAGGTTACATTCAGGATATCACTGGAAGCTGATCTGAGGAGTGTCACGACTCCGAGCACTGGGCGCCGCCATCTTGGAGGCGGGACTTCAAGTGCCCGCACTTCCGCGACCACGTGACGTAGACCCACAACAACTACACGTGCAACTGGGGAAGCTGCGCCCGGAGGAACGCGGGAAAGGAGGAGCGGAGCTAGGGGTGTGGTCAAGTCCTGCGTCACGACTCATTACGTCCATTTCAGCAGCTACCTCCAGATTCAGCCGCTTGGAGCAACTCTCGCGAGCTAATGAGCTCAACTGGAATCAGCCTTGGGAGCAAAGAGAACAAGGTGAAGCAAAAGTGTCAGCCTGGAAAAGGCACGGTTGTAGTGGAGGTAGCGTCCTTGGAGGCCCAGGGCTACTTCCAGGGTTCAAGGTTTGTGGTTTCCAGACGCTTATTCATTGTTTCTTTCTCTGGGTTTTGTCTACACAATTTTATAAGAATGGCTATAAAATACACTCTATCAAAAAATTATTAAAGATCTAGGAGAACATCAGAAGGTTCTTTGCTCAAACTAAAAATTAACACCTCCACTTCTGCATACTGACAGCTATTACTCTTAAAATCATGTTCAACATATAAATTTTTTTCTTTTGTAGTACAGGAAATGTGTTTTATAACCTTCCCATTGAAGGAAGTGTAAACAAAAAAATCATTATGTAGCTACATTGTAAAAGCTAGGAGCATAAAAAATATTATTCTTCTTCAAATTGATTCCATCAGCACGTACCAGGAAATACCTATTATGTGTCCACAATGACCTTCTGAATTTATAAAAATCCTACCCACCCAGCTTCGTCTTTTCTTCATGGTTCCACATTCTTATTATATGCTAGGTTTCAATAAGTCTGTCTCTGGTCTAATTTTTTATTTTCCTTGATATCCAAATTATTACCTAATATTTCAGACATACTCTCTCCATCTTCTCCTTTCTCTCTTCAAAACTCTTGGTTTAGACCTTCAGAAATGATAAATTACTCAACTGTTCATAAGAACCCTCCTACTCAGGACATTTTCTGGACAGTTCTGACTAAGTAAATGAAAATGCAACCATTTTATGTAGATGACTGACCATTCTCTATATCTCACTTAGCCCAAACTGCCACATTGTGACTTAGATAATATAATTGTGCTTGAAGATGATAAAAGGAAAAAGAAAATCACTGCCACTGTGGAAAACAGCTTTCGAAGCTAAAGGTATTTTAACATATGGCAATCACATTCCTTGGTATTTACTCAAATTAATTGAAGTCACATAATGCACACAAAAACTTGTACATGAAAGCTTATAACAATTTTATACATCATTACCAAAATTGAGAAGTTACCAAGATGTTCTGCAGGGGGTAAATGGATACACACTATGGTAAGCCCAGAAAATAGAGTAGGAAATTTGAAAGGGCTATCTACTTCATGATTCCAACTATACATCATTCTGAAAAGGCAAGACTGAAGACATTAAAAAGATCAGTGACTGCCAAGGTTGAGGGAATGGGAAGGATAAATAGGTGAAGCACAAATACTTTTTAAGGCAGTGAAATGCTTCTGTATGATATTATAATACTAGATACATGGCTTACCTATCAAAATCCGTAGACTGTACAGTACCAAGAGTGATTTATTTAATGTTAACTATGGATTTTGGAAGATGATGATTCAATGTAGGTTTATAACTTGTAACAGAAATTCTACTCTAAATGGGGTGGGAGTGAGGGGTACAGTGGCAGGGAATATAAAGGAAAGCTCTGTACATTCTGCTCAATTTTTCAATGAGTCCAAAACTGTTTTTAAAAATAAAGTCTATGGGCCCTCCCTTGTGGCGCAGTGGGTTAAAGCACAGCACTAAGAAGCTTAAGCTACTTCCGCATGAGTTCGATTCCCGCTTGCCCTGGAGGTGATCCACAGGGTGAGGCAGACCTCTCCTGACCCATTCGCTGCTCCCCTCAGCAGTGTACTTCCTCGATCTGCCTGTTCTGCTCCCCTCTCTGTCTCGGTGAATCCTGTCACCACCCCTGCACCTCTGGCCTATACCCCAGTTCTCTATGCATAAATAAATCTTTAAAATTAAAATAAATAAATAAATAATAAAGTCTATTATAATAAAAAAATAAAGTGGTTATACTATTCCTTGATGTTACCAAAGATAATATCCTTTAATCAAATTCTATCCACATTCTACCCAGAGGAAGAAGAAAAGGAGGAAGGAAAGGAGAGAGGGAGGATGGAACAGTAAGTTAATGTAAGAAAAGAAAAGACTCATGCCTTTGCAGACACTTTTTCTCCCATCTGAATGTGGATCAACAAATTAATACATAAACCAAGTATGGTATACTATATACATAAAACTGAATATTATTCAGCCTTAAAAAGGAAGACAATTCTCACATGTATAATGTGAATGAATCTTGAGGACATTTTGCCTGAAATAAGTCACATACAAGAGGACACACATTGTATGATTCTACTTATAATAAGTACCTATACTAGTCAAATTTTCAGAGAAAGTAGAACAGTGGAAAAAGTTAGTGGTTAATGGGTACAACTTTTCAGTTTTGCAAGGTGAAAGAGTTCTAAGGACAGACGGTAGTAATGGTTATACAACAGTATGAATGTACTTAATGCCAGTTAACTCTATAAAGTTGTCATTTTTATATTTACCCTATAAATAAGACACTTTTTCTTCAGAAGTATTTCATTTCAAAGATGAAACATTTCCCAGTATCACAAAAATGCTGACTTACAATATTCTAAATTTAATAAATAATCAAAGTTCTCTCTAGCCCTTCAATGTCATTTCATTTCATAAGTTTGCGTTGCTGGAAGGAAGTACTTAATGGAGAACAGTGCTTGCAGAAGTACTTAGTTTGCTTACTTATGCTTGCAGGTAATGAGTTTTTAATTCATGGCAGCACTACCTCAGTTGTGTGATTAAAAATTTATTAACTAATAACAGTAGTAAAGATCCATTATGCCATCTATGCCTTCTGGATTTTTCTTCAACTTCTAAAATAGTCTTCTAAGAAGCTTAGATGAACAAGAAAATTGGGATGGGATTTGTGATAAAAAGATTGAAAATTTAGTATTTCTAAAACGCATAGTATGTACCTATATTCTTAATCCAGATATTCTACAATTAACAGTGAGACTTATATATAAAGACAAAAAACTTGAGTCTATGTACCTGTTTACATAGAAATATAAAGCATTCGTTCATTACTTTGGGCAAGAATTTGGAGATTAGGGTCATTCTTTTACAGATTTTGTGTTCTTATTCATCACACTCACATAGAATATAACAAAATGTTAACAGCAGGCTCTGGTTGCACAAAGAGCTGCCAGTTAAACAAATTTGGACTGTCCCACTGGCAAAGGCTAATGCATGTGGATGGTTGTATCTGCCTAGTTTAATGTAAAACCTCTAATTTGGGGTGTTGGAGACCATGCCAGATGTCAGAGACCAGCTCTGACAGGTAGCCGGTCAGGGGTCTTTTTCCGGAAGGATGAGGCAGTGTCAGCGAAATGAGCAATTGAGACTGACACTCTAGCTGGTGCAAGTATCTCCTGCAGAAAACTTCAACAGTTCTTTAAACATGTTACAAAGAAACTCTTGATCATAGAAAGATAACCACCAAAAAGAAGCAGCATCCTCATAAGAAAAGCCTTCAACTGAACTAGGACAGTGTAAAAGATTGGTGGGAAACTGAGACTACAGTCTCCTTCTAAGAAAGTGACACATCTGTCATTTATATGGGCAACAGCTACATAAGGCCAAAAAGCTGGAGATTTGGGTGGACTTCAGTGCTGCATCTGTCTACACAGCTAGGAAAAGGCATTAGGTTAATGTGTGCTTGGTCTCCTTAGTCAGACTGTCATTTAGAACCTGTAACTATCACAGAACTGGTGCAAATACATTAACTGAAGTCTCTTTTATTCTGAAATGGCCTCTGTCTAATGCTTTATAATAATTTATTCACTGTTGCATCAGCAACACCACACTGGTAGAGAGACAAGAGTCATGAAGCAGGCTACATAATATAGGATGCTACTAAAAAGCAAGATCCTGGCCTTTTTTAAAAAAAAATTATTTATTTGTACAGAACTGGGGTACAGGCCAGCAGTGCAGCAGTGGTGGGGGGATTCACCAGAGACAGAGCAGGGAGCAGAACAGGCAGATCGATGAAGCACACTGCTCAGGGGAGCAGCAGGTGAGTCAGGAGAGGTCTGCCACACCATGTGGGTCACCTCTGGGGCAGGCAGGGATCAAACTCATGCTGAATTGCCTTTAACTTCTTAGTGCTGTGCTTTAACCTGCTGTGCCACCAGGAAGAGCCATCCTGGCCTTTTTATTGATACACCAGTCATACAGCATTAGTCATATGAGGTAATAGAAAAAGAGAAGGAGAAGTAGAAGAAGCAGGGGAAGGGTAGAACTGTATTTCTCATCTGCTGATAGTTTGGTATGTAGATCAAGCCCTGACTCCCCAGTCAGGATTTCAGTCTTATCAATAAGGCATTCCACTGATCAGCTTCTGGGCTCCTTCATTATACATTAGTCAACGCACCTCTCCCCAAGGGTGTTCCCAAGTCATACCTCGTGATGTATAAGTCAGGAGTAAGTTTATGCATCTGTCCTCAGCCCCCCGGGCATTCCCGGTCATACCTCGTGATGTATACTCTTCCCAGGGTGATCCAGCTCTGTGCTCTTAGTTGATGTGAAAGGTACCTTGTAGGGTTGGGCTCCTATGACCAGGCAGTCCTGACCTTGCTTTAGGAATACAGACCGGCAGGTAATAAAACAGAGGCTGGATAAGCCGCCTAGATTTGGTAGACCCACAATTCACTCTTGCAAAAATTAAAATCTATCCTTTATTGGAGGATTTTCTGGTCGACCATGCACCACAAGGCACCAAGAAATACCAGTTACAGTGTGGTCCATGTGAATGTTTTACAGATTTTTCATCACATGTGCTGAGGGTCAATATCTATATTTCAATCCATGTAAATGGCAATCTCTGGAATTAATATGCTCCTGGTCATATTGTTACAGGGCACCCC